CCCCCGCATCTCACACAGCCCCTAACGTGTAAAAGGCTTCCAAAAAAAGCTCCGGGGTGAAGCGAGGCCACATACATGAAGTCCCTGTGACCAACCCAAAATGTGTGCAACACCAAGGAATTCATATTGATGGGGGAAAAAAATTCTCAAAGGAAACAAGCACGGGGCTCCTGGGGGGCAGTAAATTGAGGGTTTCTGCAATCACCGACACCGTTGTCAAAGTGCAGCAGGCATTTCCTCCTCAAACACAGGAAGGGCACCCATTCCATGGATTCCTGCCCTGCCTGGGGATTTAGGTCAAAAGAGAAAAGGAAACAGAGACCAAGCTGTAGCCCTTTCTGGATGTCAGAGTCCTAACACACCCTCATCTTTTTGCACAGTCTCCTCTAATTAAAAAGAAAAAAGCCATAGCTCAATATAAGAAAACAAGTTCCACATTCACTAAATGCTATGGTTCAATTTCTATCGACCACCCGAGCTTTGGAATCAAACAGACCTGAGCTCAAGTCCCAGGTCAGCTGCTACCCAGCTCTGCCACCTTGGACACATGACCAAGCTTCTTGGGCTTTTGTAAGAAAGAGGACAAGGCGGCCAGTGTAGAATCTGTGTCCTACCACGTGTGAGGGTGACAGGAGTGACACACAGAGAAACCTAATTACCTTGTGTAAAAGCCCAGTCAGAGACACAATGATCTCATCCCAGGGACACACCAAAAGGCAAGGGACTGATTTCCCTTGAGTCGTGAACCCCACAAGACCTCATGTGGGTTGTAAGTTGGTTCTCGGTATCCACTATTTTCAGAGCCCTCCCAAGTGCACTGCGGTGCCTTCACACACAACCGCTCCACTCGGCAGGGTAATCTGTATCCACAGATTGCCCACAGCTGTCCCAACCACATGAAAGACCCAGACACTCCCCAGTGACCTCCTGGCACAAGGTCATTATTCATCATTGCTACAGGCTCAGCACCAGACACACACTGAAAGGTTGGCCCTCGGTTTTTATTGTGTCGGTGTTAGCTTTCCTGTCTGCAGCCCTCTGACTGGTACAAAGCTTTACACTGTTTACAAATGTGTGAGAGGCCCGGCCTTTTCTCCTTGCTGACTTTTAGATACTTGCACCATTAATCTTTAATTTTTATTGGAACTTCAGCTGGCAATGAATATGAAATGCTGCCTTCTGCCATGTGTTCCAAAGTCCAGGGGGATGGTGCACCTCTTAAAGAGCCTAGGTGTGAACGTGTAGGTTGGGCAAAGAATTGTCATTGTTCATCCTATGCAAAAAGTGAAACATTTTTATGACATTGCATTTGTGTTTGATGACAGCTACCAGGGACTAGCATTTGATAGAAAGTTATTCTCTTCAATAAACAAAAAGGAAATGGTAGAGGGGGTGAAAGGATAGCTGGGGATTGGGGAAAAGTAAGAATCAAGGTAAGTCATATAAAGGTACAAGATCCCAATGATGAATTACTGCATACCTAAAAGGTACCAATAAACTTAATATTTAAAAATTAGCATAGGACCAAGGATTTAGCTGAGTGGTTCCACCTCCTGCTTCGTAAGCTCAAGGTCCCAAGTTCGATCCCTGGCACCAAAAATAAAATAAAATAAATAAATAAATACCAAAAATGAAATAAATAAATTAGCATATATTTTATATGACTTGAGCTCTGAGTAACATCCTTTTAAGATCATGACACACAGTGTATTATCTACTGTTATTCTGTGATTATTATGTTATAAAATTTTGTCCTTTTTACCATGGAAGTAAGAAGAGTACTTTCTCTATTTTCCTTCTTAATATCTACGTATACGGCATTAAAGTAAAAAATTATTATTATCAATTTACTTGGCTGTGGCTATTTTACAGTAGATGTCCTTCAGGGAAAAAGAATAGATGTCAAAGATGGAGAATACTTCTGAAGTAGATAATACCCTTCATCAATGATAACTGCTACCCAAATAGCAGAGCAATGAAAGAAAGAGCCAGTATTACTGCATAATCAAAAGTTCAGAGTGCTGGGCAGGGCATGATTCCCATTTACTACCCTCCTGACCGGTGTCACATATGAATGGGGAAGAATAAATGGCATGCTTATTGCAAAAAAAGTAATTATTGCCTTCTAGATTTATCTTAAATAATTTTCTGGGTTAGCACCACCAAAAGCCACATCCTATGAAGATGGGAAAGGTTTGCACTATTTAGCAAAAAATCCAACTGACTGTATTATTAATTCCATGTGATTCAGCAATTTTAATTAGAATGTGGTAACACCGTATTTTTTGTCATGGATACATTGCATGTTACTTAGTCGCCTAGTTTTTCTTTTTCTGCTTTTCTTTTCCTCTACAGTAAATACTTTAACAGCGATGTTACTCTTAGGGTTTGGATGTTAAATGTCCCACAACGGCCTCCACGCTGAAGGTCTGGTAGCCAGCCCGTGGTGATGCTCAGAGATGCAGGAAAATATACCAACTTGAAAATAGTGCTCCAGATGGAACGACGACCTGGCTGAGGGACGAAAATATTGGACTGAAGTTGAGTAAAGACATCTGAAATTTGGAGTTAACCACTAGGCTGTGACGGTTGAGCTCAGTGAGGGAAAGATGCTCTGAACGAAGACTGTGGTGCTAGGGTCAGAGCTTAAGGGACACCCGTAACAGGGACTGGAGGCAAAAGAGCTGGCAGTAAAGGGAAAGGAAGACCAGGAAGGTGTAGAAGAATAGTTGCCTTGAAAAATGTGAGATCCTGAGGGAGTTACACCAGAGACCTGAGGGAGACCTGTCTGAGTGAGTGGTTCTAACATTCACTTCGGCTATAGGACTTTTCATTAAGCAAAAACCTGTGTAGAAACTCGTTATAGCACAAATGCTCCAGCAAAGGGGAAGTGGGGAAAATCTGTCTTATCCCTCCTATTCTTGCCACCCAAGCACTCACTTCTTCCTAAGGTAATGTTCCAGCCTCAAGGCTCCCTCAACAAAAGTCTGATAATCACTGTGGCCTTCTGACTCTGCTTATTTTAAAGATGTGGGGGTCAGAACTCTGAGGAAAAGTGCAGAGCTGATGAGCAACAGAATCACGAGTCACATTTCCTGAGCTTTCACTGGTTAGCTGTTAATACCAACGCTGTTTCTCACAATGTCCAGAAACCTGAGAACAGAAGTGCAGAAGGCACGAACAAAGGATGGTGAGCAGGGCACAGATTTTATCCTGGTGGATGCTGCTCAGTCCTCCATCCCCACAGGGATGCTATTACTGCCCTACCCCAAGAACAGGGCTCTGGGTTACTGCCCACAGGTCCCAGGGGAAAGAAAATCACTCTCTCTGGATACCTCTTTATAATTCTTAAAGTGCGGTCACACCCACTATTTTATTAAGTCATCGCCGTGACCCTGGGTGGGGGAGAAGCTGACAAGGAACTTTGCAGTGCTCACACTTTATAGAGTCACTTGGGCATGCTGACTTGAGTCACATGATGTAACAATACACACCCCGATTGGAGTTCTGGACTCCCAGCATCCAAGTCCAGATGGCTCCTGATTATCCTTCCATTCTTCCTGCTCTCTATGAGCAAATCAGTCTGCTATTTGGGGTTTTTGAATAAGCAATAAAAGCAGAAGGTTAAATGTGTTGCCTAAATTAATCACAAAGGATTTCTGGTTCCAGGTAAAGGAGGAAACGCACTCCTCTCTGCTTCCCTCCCTGGGTATAGCGATAAAGCAGGGACACAGCCCGGGGAGCAGCTGGCTGGGAACTCCGGGAAGTCAATAGTGGCACAGTGATGGGAGAGGAAACCAGAATATGAGATGCTTCCCTCCAGTATATCTGGGCCCAGACTTCACAACCCAGACCCAGGAATGGGCAACAGGGCAGACCGAAGTCAGAGGAAACTTCAGGAGAAACCACCAGGACCTGGAAAGCTAGTTCCTGACTCCAGAAGAGACTGGAAATCTCTGGGGGGATTTTTTTTCTCTTCCTTTGCTCTGTTTTCTTGTTTTCAATGACATTTAAAAAAAAAGAAAAATTACACAGTTAACATAAACAACTTGATGTTTCTGAAGTAAACTTCTATTATGAAAGCAATAAACATATCCACTGTGCCCTACAGTTTCCTCCTGTCCCTTCCATAATTGTTAATTTTGGATTTTGTTTTGTGTGGTCTAGTTTTTCAGGGTGATGGACAAGGCTACTAATGGGAGCCCACAGGAGTCAAAACTCTATGGAAGAGACATGTTTTTCTCTGTTAGCTGGAGCTGCAACCCCAAGAAGCTGGGGCAAACCTCCAGTTGTAGCTCTCTCCTCCCACCACCGGCCCTGGAGACCACAGAGTCTAGTCAGATGATTGTAACCATAAAATACTCAAGAGATGACAAAAAAGGAGGAACTCAAGTAAACAAGCCCATAAATGTGTTTATGCACACTTAGGCTCACTCCCTTCCAAGCTCATGCACAGATCTGATCCTGGTCAGGTACCAGTCACTTTGATGAAGGAACGAAACCACCTTCCAGGGTCCACACTGGCCACCAAGGGAGCACATGCAGGGCCCCTCAAACAACCCCCACAAAAGGCTTTGAACACCCAACAGTTGTTAGAGTCAGAGCCCATAGAAACTGGACAAAACCTAGGACCTACCCTAAAACAGCTCAAATGACTGCTAAAAAGAAAACATCAACATTCTGCTCGGGATCTTAGAAAAAGACTCAGAGTCTCTTCATAAAGCACTAAATGTGTTTTGGATACAATGTGAAATGACTCAGCCCATGAGAAATCCGGAAATCTAAACTCATATGGGGAGAGATAATCAACAGACACCGACACTGGGATAATACATTGAAGGTGTTATCTAACAAAGGCTTCATTAAAGCCAGTAAAAAGTATGTGAGCAAATATTAAAAATACCTTTAAAAATCCAAAGACAAATATGTGATCTCAAAATGAAATACAAAACATACAGAAACATCCAACAAAACTTTTAAAACAGAGAACTGACCTAAGAACTCACTGGATGACTTGATAGAAGGAAGACGGTGGGAGAATTGGTGAACTCAAACATAAATCAACCAAAATTCTTCAACCTGAAAGGAGAGAATGAAAGATTTTTAAAAAATATGTCACATACCCTCAAGGACCTATGTGATAGTGACAGAGTTTTCAACATTCATACGATTGGGATGCTAAGAAGAGTAGAAAGAATGCAGTGCTAAAATGTACTTGAAGAATATAAATTGAAACTCTCCTAAATTTGCTGGAAAACACAAATCTACAGATTCCAGGAGCTGAGTATATCCCAACCACCAACAACCATAATAAGTCCTCACCATAACACATCATATTTGAACAGTTTAGAACCCAAGGCAAAGACTAAACTCACTCTAAAGAAGAAAAATAATTAAAATGACCGCAGATTTCTCTTTAGAAACCATGGGACTATGAGAAGCGGTGCAAAAAACTTTTAAAAAGTGTTGAAATAAAAGAGCTGTCCATACAAATTCTACATGCAGGGAAAAAAATAGCCTTCAGGAATAAAGATAAAATATTCAAAGGAAGGACAACTAAGAAAGTCCGTGTGCAAAAAGCCCAGCTCAGCTGAGGTTGGTGGTGTACACCTGAAATCTCTTGAGAGCTTCACACTCCTAAGAGGATCACGTGTTTTGAAGCCAGTCTGAGCTACATAGTGAGACTCTGTCTGAATGAATGAGTGGGTGAACGAGAAAAGAAGGAAAAATAAAATACCTGACAGAACTCCTAAGGGGATTCCTACTGAAAGAAGGGAAATTATACAAGATGGAAATTTAGAACATTGGCAAAGAGAGAGCAAAGATAGGAATGAATAAAATAGGTCCTTCTTCCCCAAGTTTCTTAACATACATTTGAAAGTCGAAGGCAAAGATTAAAATGCTGTGTAATGGAGTTTTCAGTATGTGTGGATTTGAGACAATTATAAATAGTCAGGGGGGTGTACGGATATACTCACGCTGGGGATGGGAAACTGCTTACTGGAAATGGTAAAACATTGAATTTCAGAAGACAGTTAAAAGCTAAGTATTTACATTATACCTAGAAGCAACCACATAAAAGTTGCAAAGATACATACTCAAATATAAATAGATATAGTTTTAAATGTTTCAGTGACCCAAAAATAAGCAGAACAGGAGAAGACAAGGCAAACATGGCCCCTACTTTTATAGTAACAATTAAAGAAACAGATCAGTATTGGCATTTATGATAAAACTCCTAAAAATTAGGCCAACCTGTGACTTTGACTAACACTGGTGACTTGTGAATTCAGAAATGGCCTCAATGGGATGATGAGTTTCATTTGCCAAGAAGAGCGGATCTAGAAAAGGACACCCCAGGAAGATGGAGCAGCTGTGAGAAAAGCCCCCAGCACAGGAGCTGCTGAGTGGCAGGTGAACGGAAAGGTCAGTCTGAATGAGGGAAAAATCTTTCCTAGGAAGCTGCGAGCTACACAAGGAAGGGGAAAGAGGTTGCGCTGGGCCTTGCAGGCTGTAGTTACAGGTTGGATTTTTTCTACGTGCAGTGAGAAGCTGCAGGAGCCTTGCATAGGAAAAGCAAAGAGTCACGCAGGAGAACGTGGTTACTTCACCCCAGGAAGGATTCGCGGGCACCTCCATACATACCCGTCCCCAGGGCTTGGCTGAGCGTTCCACGGCAAAATAAATAAGGGTCCCAGGCAAGAGCCAGCTTTCCTGTTCCCGGGACAGCTGAACGGTGAGCTTCCCTGTGCAGAAATGTGTACAAATCTGGATTACATCAGATGCCTTATCTACAAGGTGACAGCCGAAGTTTGATCTTTGGCCTAAGGGGAGAATGAAAAGTTGTTTATATTTTAGAAATAATCAGAGTCAGACATCTCAAAATTAAAATTCTTCGTCAGCCTATCCATATTTATGAATGTGTAAAGTTTCTGACAGACCCATTCCACAATTTGTATGCATTGCGCGTTGGGAGACGTTTGACCCCGAAGATAGCATCTCTCTGTGGGAACGTTTCTCACTTTATGAGCAAAGTTTATTTAAAGCCCTTATTTAACTCTCTAGGTAAGTTACCTATGCTCACCTTTCTCACTAAAATCAAACTGAGTGAGGTTTCTTTGTGTACAACAGGCCTTGCAGGTTGCAAAGAGAAAACTACAGTTCCCCCTACCTATATTCAACCCATGACCTAATAAACTATGGATGTTCTTATACTACAGCCATTCAAATTAGGGAAAATGAGATCTGACTTCAGAATAAAAGGTTTCTAGTTTTGATATGAGCTCACCATGTAAACTTCATCAAATCTTTTTTACTTTCAGAGGCTTTGATTACATTATCTGCAAAATAGTTGTCCTTTCTATGTATATGTGTGTATATATTTACATGAACACATACACACAGGTGTGTATACACATCTGTGTGTACTTGTGCATGGCTACTTGTGTGTGCATGTTAATGCATGTGTGTGCATACCTGCACAAAAGGTCATGTTTTCTAGAAGCAGGAGGTAAGAGGGATTCATGGGGTACATGATCAACTGAGGGAATGCTCTTGAGTCAAACCCGGATGAGAGGTAAAGCAGGACAGGGAAGGAGCTCATGCTAAACAAGGGTATGGTCTCAGCGAAATCTAGCCCTGGCCCAGCCCATGGGAGGAGAGTGAATGGTCAAGGAGCATCATACATAACCTGCACGTCAGAAGAGTGCCCGCTTTGAGCAAAGAGCACTGGGGTGTGTCACCCTCTCATCAGGTACTGCAAGACTCCTAGGGTGGAAGGGACAACTTCCCCTGGGGGAAGAGGCTACTCTCGGGTGATGATAATTCTGTGGAGAAGAAGGCACTCTGGGAATGCTTAGCAGCTGACCTTTACAGCCATGGAGGGAGAAGTACACCGGCTCCATATGGGAGACCTGGACAAGGTGCCAGCATGTAAGAGAGGAATCCGTTTGTCTGTCCATCTGTCTGTCTATCTGTCTATCTGTCTACCTGCCTATCTATCTATCTACCTACTTATCTCTGACTAAGAATATACAGGCATAACACTGTGGTTATGAGGAGGAGGGAGATGAGGAAGAAAGAAAAGAGGGAAATTGACTTTCATTTCCTTCATTGGTTTACAGGAGTATTATAAGAAGTGACGCTTGCAGAACACTACAAATGCTCACCTATGCAGCCTTAAATCAGTTGTGAGCCTTCCTGACTCTATTTTGCTAGTCCCTCTGCCTCACTGCACTCACACCATCAAGTTTACTATGACTTTGACGTGACTATCAGCTGCCTCCTCTGTAGAAGGATCCTATGTCTACATCCTACTCTACCTATCTCTATCATACTGAGGATCATAATACAGACCCAAGAGCAAACTCTTCTGTACAGCACACACTGTAGGATCCAACAATAAGTTCAAATACAGCTTTGCTTCTGAAACACATGGCCTGTGGCAAAGTCAGAACCTTGGTAAATCCTGCTTTCTTCTTCTGTAATCGCAAGTGAAGCCAGCAGCCTTGAGTTTCATTATGCAGGAGGAAGTGTTTATAAAACCATGGTTCTGCATTGCTTAATAGTTAGGTTCTCTGCATGCAAGAACACATTTTCAGGACCTCCTGGCTAAACATGCCCTGTGACATCCTTGAAACCTCAGGACTCCACCAAGAAAAGAATGAGTCTACTTCAATTTAAAGGAATTCATAAGGCTTGCACTGAAAGAATCTAACATCGAAGAAAGGAAAAACATAAAAGCAAGAGGGAAAACATAAACCTCAGACTGTGAGCCAAATGCCCTGGTAGGAGCTGGGTGCAGCAAAGAAAGCTTAAATATTTTTAGCCTCTATTTGGGTATTCTGATTTCTGCTACAGATCCATGAGTTACGCTGTCTAGAATTGGATCCTGCCCTCCCACCCTCAGCCCAGCCAGAAAGGAATTTTCAGGCTTCTAGATATGCCAACCTGCAACTGGCTCTAATTTCAGCAGCCATGATAATAATTTCAGCCTTGTGGTGAGGGGTAACCTTTAAATTCTCTATTCACCACACTGCTCCATGGTTTTCCGGTCCCATTGGCATTTAGTACAAAGCACTGGCACAATCTTGTTGTTGTTTTTAGAACAATACTGCCAAACACAATTCCACCTTAACAGTGCATGTACTAGGGTAACAAAGTTCATAGCCTATTCTGGTTAGCTCTTGTAGTATGACAAGTCCAAAATGTGATGGCTTAACACAGCCATTTTATTATACCTCATAGTTCTATAGGTTGAATTGGCTTAGCTGGATGCTTCTGCTGGTGTCTTCGGAGTCTTTTATGTTATTGAAGATGGGAGCTGGGCTTGGTATCATCTGGAAGCTTAACTGGGATGTTGTCTATATATAGTCTTCGACCAACAGCTGTCCAAGCAGCTACTCCGAAGGAGTAAGCAGATGTCTTACATGGTGGCTCAAGGGTACCAAAGTGAATGCTGCAAGAAAGAAAATACAGGAACTGTCATGTCTTCTTAATGCCATCGCCTCAGAACTGCCAGGGCCTCATTTCCTGCTTGTTCTGTTGCTCAAAGAAGTCGTAGGTGTAGCTCAGCATCCAGGAAGAGAAGATAATCTCTACCTCTTGAAGGAAAGCACCATGCATAGGTACAGGAGGGGCAGGTTAGTGAAGGCCAACTTTAGCAACTATTCACAGGAGCCCAAAGCTGATGTGCGTGTGAGAGCTCTGTAAAGCTAAGGCTTTGTATAATTTGATATCTGTCTCTGCACGAAGGAGCACAATTCCAGGAAGCCCCCATTTGTCTCATAAGGGGCCCCATTTGTGTCACTGTCATCTTTCATGGAAACCTCTTGAGAAATGTTCATACTTGTCAAGCTCTGTCCCTTTTGTGAAAACAAAAACTTTGTTCTGTTTATCCTAGAACCTAATGAAAATTCCCATCCCAGAGGTGATAAACATATGTTGAGGAATGGAGTGGATGGATTGGCAGTCTCTCCCCAAAAAGTTACGTTCATTCCCTAACACCTGGAGATTATAAATGTGATCTTATTGGGAAAAAGGTCTTTGCATATTAATTAAGGATCTCCAGACTAAGTCATGCTGAATGTAGGGTAGACCCTTGATCCAGTGACAAGGGTCCTTATAAGAAGTGCATGAGACAAAGGGACCAAGGGGAAGGAAGACAGAGACAGAGTGCAGAGCTTACTCTGTAAGTCAGGGAGCCCTAGGAATTGCCTAAGGCAGCAGAAGCTAAGAGAGAGCCATAAAACAGACTCTCAAAGGTTTCAAGGGGGCCAGGGATTTAGCTCAGTGGTGCCATCACCCGCCTTGCAAGCACAAGGTCCTGAGTTCAATCCCTGGTACAAAAAAAAAAAAAAAAAAA